CGTAATTAGAGCAACAACCAATCATTGTTTGATACTGAGCACATTACAGAGGTATGCCAGACATTTCCTGCTGCCAAGCTGGAATGGAAACCAAGAAGAAGATGTGTGGATTTGGACAGGAGAATGGAAGACTAAATGGCCAGATCCAGACCAGGCGTCTAGAGTCCAAAGCCAGAGAAAACCAACGCACAGAAGGGAGAAAATGGAAGGCAAAATAAGTCCTCACCCAGAACCCCATGGGGTAACTCTATATGATAAATAAAATTATCATTTTCTCCTAAGAGTAAATTAAAGCTAAGGAGGGTCAAGAGAATTGTTCAGCCTCCACTTCTAATTTTTTCTATCATTTAAATAAACTCAAATCTCTTTGATAAACTATTTCAAAAATAACAAAAGCAAGTGGTTGAGCAAAAGAAGCTTACAACCTCTCTGGATCCCTGATCTTTTTCCAGGTCTACCATTGTGTCTTCCCTGGTCCTCATCGTGAACAGCAGTCCTCCTCACTCCTGCATCACTGCATGGCTATGAAGGTGGTGCACCCCTCACTCATTAATCACACTACACACAGCCACCAGAATCCCCTGCACACTGGAAGCTCTCATTCCCTTGATATCTGCAGGCTCTGAATCCATTGAGCTCTTGTGTCTGGACTCGCCTTCTTTAAAACAACACCGTGCTTTCTCGCTCCCCGCTACCTCCTCATCTTCTGTTCCACTGTTGCCTTTGAGGCTCCCAATTACTAGGGTTTGCTTTCGGGTGGGACAGTGCATGATTCAGCACTTAGGATTCTGCCAGATTATAGGACATGGAATGAGTGAACAGATCAAGGGCCAATCAGTGTTATTATCCATAGCCAGGTAGGTCCACCTCTAACCTTTGTCTGACCCACTCTCCCTAAAATGACTTTTCTCCAATTTGAAGCAGTTCCCTAATCAAAAAAAGTTGATGTTCACTAGACAAAATAAATGTGCAAAGTAAGTGAAGTATTGGTGACAATATTCTTGTAACACACGCAGAGATTTCTGACAATGACACAGCCACTTTAAATGTTCATTCTACAAAGCAATGAGCACTGAAAAAATCTCTATACCCCACCAAGTGGAGAAGCCAGGGTACCTTTCCATAGCTCTAATGGCTTTGCAGCTCTGTGCCACAGTGAGAAAATAAACACCATTTCTAACACACAGACTTGCATTTAGTTCTCATTCTGCCAGGGCCAGTAAACACCCATCTGGCTGGTGGGTGTGACTCACTGGATGGTGTGACTACAGCACCTTATGAGAATGTTAGGACCTCAGGGTGAGGGTGGATGCCACTGTTCCACTGTCCTCTAGCACTTGCCCCAATCTGAAACTTCTTTTTTATTACTAGCATGTAGATACACTGAGGCAAGCTTTTAGAGGCGTTTGTAAAAATTCAATAGGAAAAATTTATATCTATTTACTTTAACAATAAATTGTGTTTATATTTGGAATCTTAATTTTATTTGTATAATAGTTAATTTTCATTGCATTTTACTAAAGTATTAGTCTGCAATGACTATAAAAAAGTTTATAATAACTAGATCCATGTATATCACCCTATACCAAGATTAACTCAAAATGGATCAAGGATCTTAATATCATACCCCAAACTCTTAAGTTGATACAAGAAAGAGTAGGAAATACTCTGGAGTTAGTAGGTATAGGTAAGAACTTTCTCAATGAAACCCCAGCAGAACAGCAACTAAGAGATAGCATAGATAAATGGGACCTCATAAAACTAAAAAGCTTCTGTTCATCAAAAGAAATGGTCTCTAAACTGAAGAGAACACCCACAGAGTGGGAGAAAATATTTGCCAACTATACATCAGACAAAGGACTGATAACCAGAATATACAGGGAACTTAAAAAACTAAATTCTCCCAAAACTAATGAACCAATAAAGAAATGGGCATGTGAACTAAACAGAACTTTCTCAAAAGAAGAAATTCAAATGGCCAGAAAACACATGAAAAAATGCTCACCATCTCTAGCAATAAAGGAAATGCAAATTAAAACCACACTAAGATTCCACCTCACCCCTGTTAGAATAGCCATCATCAGCAACACCACCAACAGGTGTTGGCGAGGATGCGGGGAAAAAGGAACCCTCTTACACTGTTGGTGGGAATGTAGACTAGTACAACCACTCTGGAAAAAATTTGGAGGCTACTTAAAAAGCTGGACATCGATCTACCATTTGATCCAGCAATACCACTCTTGGGGATATACCCAAAAGACTGTTACTCCAGAGGCACCTGCACATCCATGTTTATTGCGGCACTATTCACAATAGCCAAGTTATGGAAACAGCCAAGATGCCCCAGCGCTGACGAATGGATTAAGAAAATGTGGTATCTATACACAATGGAATTTTATGCAGCCATGAAGAAGAACGAAATGTTATCATTCGCTGGTAAATGGATGGAATTGGAGAACATCATTCTGAGTGAGGTTAGCCTGGCTCAAAAGACCAAAAATCGTATGTTCTCCCTCATATGTGGACATTAGATCAAGGGCAAACACAACAAGGGGATTGGACTATGAGCACATGATAAAAGCGAGAGCACACAAGGGAGGGGTGAGGATAGGTAAGACACCTAAAAAACTAGCTAGCATTTGTTGCCCTTAATGCAGAGAAACTAAAGCAGATACCTTAAAGCAACTGAGGCCAATAGGAAAAGGAGACCAGGAACTAGAGAAAAGGTTAGATTAAAAAGAATTAACCTAGAAGGTAACACCCACGCACAGGAAATCAATGTGAGTCAATGCCCTGTATAGCTATCCTTATCTCAACCAGCAAAACCCCTTGTTCCTTCCTATTATTGCTTATACTCTCTCTTCAACAAAATTAGAGATAAGGGCAAAATAGTTTCTGCTGGGTATTGAGGGGGGGGAGCGGGAGGGGGTGGAGTGGGTGGTAAGGGAGGGGGTGGGGGCAGGGGGGAGAAATAAACCAAGCCTTGTATGCACATATGAATAATAAAAGAAAAATGAAAAAAAAAAAGTTTATAATAGTCCACAGACTTAGAAAAGTAGTGAAACAAACAAAAACAGTAAACTATTCGTTTGAGACATTCCAAGCTGGGTGTGGTGGTGTGTACCTATAATCCCAGCACTTGGGAAGCAGGGGCAGGAGGATTTCAAGCTTGAGGCCAGCATGGACTATATAGTGAGACCCTGTCCCAAAAAAACAAAAGAGAGAACTCCAAGAGTGAAGAGATAAACCACAGAATGGGAAGATTTGTTTTTCAGGTTTTTTTTCTGTGTGTGTGTGTGTGTGTGTGTGTGTGTTGTGGTGCTGGGGATGGAATCCAGGACCTTGTGCATGCTAGGCAAGAGCTATACCCCTAGCCTGGGAAACAATATTTGCAACACATTAATTATAGATATAAAATGTAAAAATCTTCTATAATATGTAAATAACTAATTCAAACCCATTAGAATAATAGGCAAAGTACTTCAATTTTTTAAAGCTGTACTAGGATTTAACTCAGACGCTCTATCGCTTGTGCCACTTCCCCAGTCCTTTTTGCTTTAGTTATTTTTTGGATAGGATCTCACGTTTTTGCCTAGGCTGGCCTGGATCTCTATCCTCCTACTTACATCTCCTGTGTAGCTGGAATGACAGGTGCAGACCACCACACCCAGCTTTATTGGTTGAAATGGGGTCTTGCTAACTTTTTGCCCAGGCTGCCCTCAAACTATGATCCTCCAGATCTCCCCTCTCCCGAGTAGCTAGAATTACAAGCGGGAGCCACTGTGCCCAGCCTTGAAACAGAATTTGACATGAGGAAATTTTAATGCCTGATGGACATGTGACTGCTCAGCCTCACTGTGATCAGAGAAATGAACATCAGGACTGCAGTTACCACAGAGCAGTGGTCAGAGGGCAACCCTAAAGGTTGCTGAGGATGCTGAGCAGGGGAGTCAACTGACAGAACTACTTTAGGAAATCCCTTCACAGCATCCACTAAAGCTGGACACCACCTACTTCATGGCAGCAATCCCACTCCAGGAATGGATAAGGAAATGCCTACATGTTAACCAAATCACCAGGACGATACCCATCATGGCAGCATAGCAACATGAAAACAAACCCAACAGCAGACTGGGTAAGCTGGTGTGTTCACACTATGGATAGTAAGTAGCGGTGAGGCTAACAAACCATAGCTTCCAACAAACAATGTCAACCAACCATGGGGAACTGACAGCACCCTAGGAACTGTTCTGGTTCCTCACAGGACCTGCAGACATCCAAGGACAAACTGTCATATAATTCAGTAAGGCCACGGTGGCGGCACTGCAGTCTTTCTCCTTAGTAGAACAGTACTCGGGTGTCATGGAAAATCAGGAGTGGGTCCCTGAAGGAGTCTGGAGTGGGAGGAGCCCTGTGTGACTAGGAACACTTCAAGGTCTGGCATGAGGTCCACCATGTTTAGAAGACCCACAAAGGCTGAGATCTCTGTTAACAACCCCCAGCGTAGCTCTTGAGGTTCTCATAAGGGTCATGCCCAGATACAGTAATCACCACACTCAGGGGTGGGCTTCCTTTCACCTGTTCATCACAGTTCTCCCAGCCCAGTTTGCCAGTCAGGGATCCCTTTTATCAGAAGTGGTGTTGCTTGGGTACCACAGCTGATGTTCTACTATGAGTGGTTTTCCAGGGGAATAAGCAAGCAAGCTAACACAGTCAACTCATTCTTAAAGAAGAAGGGAGGGTTTTGTTAAGCCTGTACACCCAGACAGGAAGAACAGAGTTCAGTGTGGCTATGCTGCTTTTGTAATGCTCCAGGGATCCCCAGGCCAGGCAGAGATACTGCCAGGTCCAGAGCTCAGAAGGATGATCTGAAAGTCTCCTCTCAAGGCACCATCGTGGAGAAGAGGCCACCACATACAGCCAGCAGAAGTGGAGCCCTCTGCCAGCACCATATGGTCTCTTTGTGGGCAGGGGACATGGCCAGCCCTAGGGAAGCTTACCTTTCCCGCAGGCCTGCACCAGGCCATACCATTCCCCACAGCTGTTACACAGCAAGGTGAAGGCCGGTTCTTGATGGCTGGCAGTGGGCCCCGGGGCACACACATACAGGAGCTCATCCCCCATCTCCAAGCCAGTGTGGCCCTGCAGGATGGTGTGTGGGAAGGAAGGTGGGTCTCCACATGGCCTCTCTGAGGAAAAGGAATCACAGTCAGCTTCTCCAAACTGTGCAGAACGTTTTCAGCCTGGCAGGAAACAAACTTTAAGAAGAACCATTCCATTCTCATCTCTTCTCCATGGAGTGCCACCTTTTTCTCATTCACCCTGGCAATCTCGGGACTGGCAGAATTCCTGGCACGGATGAGGCACTCAAAAAATACTTGTTGAATAAATCAATGTGGTACCAAGTACAAAAACTTAGTATTTTTAAATCACCAGATGACATTACCTCCTGCTGTCTCCTTAAAAGGATGACCCAGAGACACACGCTTAGCAGCAGGTACTTGTTCCTCATTTGCATAAGTGAATAAGTACACTGTGAAAAGCTAAATGTTAGACCATATGGTACAAGGGAAGGTGCCTCTTCCCTCCCTCAACCTGGACGCCAATGATAACCAGCCACCAAAAGATATTAATAAGCTGTATTTTAGAGAAGCTTTAAGTTCACAGCAAAACTGACAGGAAACTACAGAGATCCCATATGCCCACTTTCCTGCCCCCACCAACCTCCCACACTAGCAGTGTCCCCCACCATGGTGGTATACTTGTTACAAACTAGGAGCCTACACAGACAGTCCTCCCAAGGTGCAGGGCTTCCCGTGGCTCACTCTGGAGTCTACGCAATGCTTCATGGCATGCCTCCCCCACTCAGAGCAGCTTCCCTGTCCTGAAAAGCCTGTGTACTGTGCTTATTCATCCCTACCTTCCACACCCAGGCAACCATTGCTCCTTTCACCAAAGAGCAGGACTGCTGGATCGTGCGGAAGAGAACCACTTCTGTAAGAAATTGCCAAATTGTCTCCCAAAGTGGCCGAGCCACTTTCCATTCCAGCGGCAGTAAGTGACAGTCCCTGCTACTCCACATCCTCATCAGCCTTTGGGACTGGCGGGTCCCAGCTTTTGGCCATTCTGGTAGGTGTGCAGCGGTACCTGTTATAATTTGCGATGCTCTGATGACATGATGTTCAACATCTTTCGAGGGCTCACTTGCCACCTGTGCATCTTTTTCTTTGGTGAGGTGTCTGTTCAGGTATTCTGTCCACTTTTAACCAAGCTGTACATTTTATTACTGGTGAGTTTAAAGAGTTCTTTGTTTTTCATAGTAATTATTATTATTATTATTTTTAGTGGCGTTGGGAGTTTTAACTCTGGGCCTCATGCTTGCTAGGCAGGCATTCTACCACTTGAGCCACTCCACCAGCCCTTTGTGTTGGGTGTTTTTGAGATCGAGTTCTGTGAGCTATCTGCCCAGGCTGGCTTCGAACAGTGATCCTCCTGATCTCTGTCTCCTGTATAGCTAGGATTACAGGCGTGAGCCACCAGCGCCTGGCCTCACGGCAAATCTTTGTTAGATATTTCTTTTGAAAATATTTTCCCCAGTCTGTGGCTTGTCTCCTCATATTGTTGACTTTGTCTTTTGTAGAACAGAAAAAAATTTAATTTTAGCAAGACCAGCTTAGCAATTATTTCTTTCATGGATCATACCTTTAGTGTCCTATCTAGAAGGTCATTGATATACCAAGGTCACTCAGGTTTTCTCCTATGCTATCTTCTAGCATTTTGTATTTAGTTGTGTGAGACATCTGAGTTAATTTTGTGAAGGGTTTAAGATCTGAATCTGGATGTTCAGTTCTCCCAGCACCCGTGTTGACAAGACTGTCTTTACTCCATTGTATTGCTTTTGCTCCTGGTCAAATATCAATTGGTTGGCTAGATGTGATGGCTCATGCCTGTAATCCCAGCTACTTGGGAAGCAGAGATTGGGAGGAGCATGGTTTGAGACCAGCCTGGGCAAAATGTTAGCAAGACTACATCTCAACAAATAAGTTGGCAGTAGTGGTTCTTGCCTGTAATCTCAGCCACACAGGAAACATGGGATGAGGATCTGTCTAAGGCTGGCCCTGAGTGAAAATGCAAGACTCTACCCGAAAAATGAAGCAAAAAAGGGCTGGAGATGCAGCTCAAGTGCTAGAGGTCTGCCTAGGAAGCTGGAGGCCCTGAGTTTAAAAAAATAATAATTGGCAAATTTATGTGAGTTTATTTCTGAGCTCTCTTTTCTGTTCCATTCATCTATTAGCCTATTTTTTGCAGGACTTTGTTGCATTCAATATCGAGTTGGTTGTTCTGGGTTCTTTCCTTCTCCATATAATCTGTAGGGTTAGTTTTTTGATATCTACAAAATAACTTGCTGGATTTTGATTGGGGTGTTGAATGTAAAGATCAAACTGAGAAGAACTAATATGACGACAATATGAAGTCTTCCTATCCAGAGACAGAATATTTCTTCATTTGCTTAGTTCTTCTTTAATTTATTTCATCAAGAGTTTTGTAGTTTTCCTCATATAGATCTTGACGTATTTTGTTAGATTGATACCTAAATATTTCATATTTGGGAATGCTAATGTAAATGATACATGATTTAAATTTCAAATTCTACTCCTTCATCGCTGTTGTATAGGAAAATAATGACCTCTGTACATTCATCTTGCATCCTACTTTTAGCTCCAAAAGTTTTTTTGTCAATTCTTTTGAATTTTACACACAGATAGTCATATTATCTCCAAAGTCAGTTTTAGTTCCTCCTTTCCAATCTCTATGCCTCCTATTTCATTACTGATTTAGCTAGGACTTCCATATGAAGCTGAGAGCAGTGGGTGAGTGGGACCCCCTTGCCTTGCTTTTGATCTTGGCAGGAAAGCTTCAAGTTTTTCACCTTTAAGGATGGTGTTAGCTTTATCCAGTTGAGGAAATTCTGCCCTATTTCTACTCTGTCAAATGTTTTTGTCATGAATGGTGCTGGATTTGGTCTTCTGTATCCATAGATATGATCATGTGTTTTTGCTTCTATAACCTGTTGATGTGATGGATTACATTAATTACTTTTTAAATGTAAAACCAGTCTTGTATATCTGGATAAATCCCACTTGGTCATGGTGTATGATTCTTTTTTTTATACAGTGTTGGGTTCTATTTGTTAATATTTTGTTGAGGATTTTTGAATCTGTGTTCATGAGATATATTGGTCTGTAGTCTTCTTTTCTGGAATGTATCTACCTGGTTTTGGTACTAAGGTAATGATGGTCTCATGGAATAAATTAGGAAGCATTCCTTCTGCTTCTAGCAGAATTCTAGAGAACTGGCATAATTTCTTCCTTAAAGGTTGGGGCCCACTTGGGCCTGGTGCTCTCAGGTGTGGAGGGCTATTGATTATCTCTTCAATCTCCTATTCTATTTGGATTGCCAGTGCTTCTGTATTAGTTTTGACAGATTGCCTCTTTCAAGGAATCAGTCCCTTTTATTCAGGCTATTAAATCTGAGGGCATATTTATTTATTGTCCCTTTAATATCCTTTCCATCCCTTGTATCATTGCTGTCATTCATTTCACATATACATAAGCATATATATGACCATCTTGTTGCTATTACATTGTAAAAACTGGTACATGGAAATAAATTAAGATTATGATAAATAAGGGCTAGGGGGTTAAATAAAAGAATACAAGTAAAAGGGAGAACTCTTTGGCAGAGGAAACCAGCAGGAAGGGGAAGGGAAAGGAAAGGATGCTGAGTGAACATGATCAAAGTTCATATTATATGTATATGAAGACAGCACAATGAAACTCACTAAATGCTGTTTAAAAAGAGGAGGGAGGGATCAAGAGAGTGCAATAGAGGGTGAATTTGATCAAAGCACCTCGCATGCATGTATGGAAATATTACAATGAAACCGTTCAGTACAGTTAATTTAAGCTAATAAAAAAGAATATGAAAAATAAGCTGCCATGGTAGTACACACCTGTAATCTCAGCACTCGGGAGGAGTGCTGAGGTAGGAGGAACTTGAGTTCAAGGCCAGCCTGGGTTATATAGTGAGACCCTGTCTCTCTTTTGCTTGTTTGTTTTGGTGGTACTGGGGTTTTAACTCAGGACCTGCCACTTGCTAGGCAAGTGCTGTAGCACTAGAGCCATGCTCCCCCAGACCTCCTTGGAGGTTTCTGCTTGTGGGTTACTCTCAGGTACAGTGTGAATACTGTATTCTCTTCTCTCCAAATTTGGAGGCAATGGTATGCCCTGAGACCTCACCTCTCTCATGGATCTAAAAGTTGTTAATTTGTCAGTTCAACTTTTTACTTCTTGGGCTGGAGTGGTGCTTGCTTTTAAGATACTTAAGTGCTGGGCCAGAAGCAGAAACAGGTTTGGTTTTGTTTTCCATGTATTTTAATGTTTATAATCCGCCTCAGGCTTTTGAAAGGCTACATTGTAGTACACATTATTTAGTCAGTAGGCAGACATTTAGTTGGTTCCAATTTTTCACCATAACAAACAAAAAGTGTACACTGAGCAGCCTTCTGTGTACACTTTTGTATATTCCTTATTTTTTTTTAATATCTTATTTCTTTGGGATGAACTTGTAGAAGTAAAAGCACTGAATCGAGTGAGACAGTGATTTTTGTCAACAATGAAGGAAATGTTTTTAATTGTGATTTCTCCTTCTGCTTCTACATTTGCCTTCCTACAGGGATGTACAGTGAAATTACCTGACAAGCACAATGCTACAAGGAGGCGTGCTGAGAAACCATGGAAACGGGAAACAGCCTGGCTGCCCTTGCAGAAAGAGACTCATCGCTCTGCACATTCTCCAACATGAGAGAGATTTTACAAGACAAAGGATGTGGGTTACATGTGTATTCAATATGCATGCTTCAGGAAGGCAGCACACAATGACCATCTTCATTTTGACCCAAACCAACTTGAAAGCTTGGTGTGGCGATACACACCTATAATCCCAGCAGTCAAGAGGCTAAGGTAGGAGGACTCTGAGTTTGGGAACTGCCTGAGATACATAGTGAGACCTGTCTCAAAATCAAACAGTGTTCTCTTAGGTAGCACATACACTGAAACTGGAATGGTACAGAGATTATCATGGCCTCTGTGCAATTATGACATGCAAATTCATGAAGTGTTCCATATTT